AGCCCGTAAGTGTGTTTCTACGTTGGCTCTTATAGTATTTATATTATCGGCCAACAGATTAATATCATCAGCAGAGACCATCAGCTTATGTGTCCCTTTCAATTCGAAATCGCCCTGATTTTCTTGGACTTTTTAATGGCATGTTCTAAGGCAAAATTGAAAAGCAGCGGCGATAGAGAATTTCTCTGTTTCAGGCAATTCTGATTAGGAAATATATCGGACAAATCTTTACCTCCACTAATTTCGATAATGGTTTCACTTAAACGCGTTTTAATTTGCCTGACTAACTTTTTTAAAACTGAGTCGTGGGTATTCTTAAAATCGATATATAAATAATTAATGGACTGTTGTATTCACACTTTTTCTCTAGCATCTGGCAAATGTAGAACATCTGATCAATTGTAGATCTATTTCGATGGATCCAACTCTGATGATCTCCAGTAATTCCATTGGTATATAGAGTCAGCCTCGCCAGAAGAATGTCGGATAAAATTTTGTAGGAAGACGACAAAAGGCAGATTCCTCGACAATTATTTCGATCAGCCTTATTACCCTTCCTATGAATTGTTTATAATAACACGAGATTCCTTCCTTCGCTATGGTACTTTCGCCTTTATTATATTTAGAGAAAATAAGTTCGTGTATCTCGAGACGCAACGTTTCGCCTCCTGCCTTGATCAAGTCGGCCAGTACCCGGGGATTTATACTTTTCCAACTTCTCAATAACAGTCTCCACTTCGATGATTCTAGGCTCTGACACTAATGTGTCATCCGTTTGTATATATCTATGTGCGTAATGTCATGAACCCCGTTAACATTTAACACCTTGTTAAAGAGATGTTTCCACCTGTTCAAAACCTTGTCAGGGTCTGCGAGCAGATAACTATTCCCACCTTTGGTAATATTAACTCTAGGTTGGCAACCTTTCTTAAATTAATTTATCTTCTGTATAAATCACTAATATTTTTGTTTCTGTAACCAGTTTTAAGTTCATTAATTTTTTGACGTAAATACGTCTATATTTTAGGGTCAGTGTCATTCGGCAAAAATGTGTTACGTCTGCAGTCTGAAATACAAGTTTCGCCGATTATAATCGGTAATTAGCGCTAAGAATATATTCCTAGCAAATGAGGCGATAACCGAAACAGCGTTCTACGGGGTTAACATTACATATATGGAGATGCGATCCTGCGACTGCGCGTATAAAAACCCGTACACTTATCTCAGGTATTAAATTCATCCATCACCCTCGAAGTAGTTCCCCTGGGAGTGAACACAACGATCCCAGCGCCGCTGCCAAGCCTGGAAG